TGATGTATATCTGATATTTTTCTCATGATTAGATGTGGGTTATATGTAGACCACACAGGTAGAGAAGCAACGCTCATCACATCATAATAACATTACAATGCTATCAACATGATTTGTCACTGTTGATATTGACTTTTGTCAAAGATCAGTTGACTATATTTGTGTGAGTCTATTTCTGGGCTCTCTACTCTGTTCCATTGATCTCTTTGTCTATTCTTTTCCCAGTATCACACTGTCTTGATTACTGTAGCTTTATAGCAGTAAGCTTTGAAGTTGGATTGTGTCAGTCCTCTAACTTCTTCTTTTTTATTTTTTTTTTGAGATGCAATTTCACTCTTATTGCCCAAGCTGGAGTGCAATGGTGTGATCTCAGCTCGCTGCAACCTCTGCCTCCCAGGTTCAAGTGAGTCTCCCGCCTCAGCCTCTCAAGTAGCTGGGATTACAGGTGTGCACCACCATGCCTGGCTAATTTTTTTGTATTTTTAGTAGAAACGGGGTTTTACCATGTTAGCCAGGCTTGTCTCAAACTCCTGAGCTTTGGATGATCCAACGGCCTGGGCCTCCCAAAGTGTTGGGATTACAGGTGTGAGCCCAGCCTGTCCTCCAACTTAATTCCTCTTCAGTGTCATGTTGGATATTCTAGGTCTTTTGCCTTTCTGTATAAACTTTAGAATTAGTCTTTGATATCCACAAAGTAGGTAGCTGGGATTTTGATTGAGCTGCATTGAATAAAATTAAGTTGGGAAAGACTGACATCTTAAACAATATTGAATCTTTCTATCTATCCATGAACATGAGATATCTTTCAACTTATTTATGTCTTTGATTTTTTAAAAATTTTATTTTAGGTTCAAGGGTACATGTGCAGGTTTATTATATAGGCAAATTGTGTGCCACAGGTGTTTGATGTACAGATAATTTCATTACCCAGGTAATAAGCATGGTACCTGATAGTTTTTCTGATCCTCTCCCTCCTCCCACCCTCCACCTTCAAGTAGGCCCCAGTGTATGTTGTTCACCTCCCAATATTCATGTGTTCTAGTTGTTTAGCTCCTGCTTATGAGAACATGTGGTATTTGGTTTTCTATTCCTGCATTAGTTTGCTAACAGTAATGGCCTCCAGCTCTATCCATGTTCCTGCAAAGACATGATCTCATTCTTCTTTTGTATGGCTGCATAATATTTCATGGTGTATGTATACTACATTTTCTTTATGCAGTCTACTATTGATAGGCATTTGGGTTGATTCCATGTTTTTGCTATTGTGAATAGTGCTTCAATGAACATACCTGTGCATGTGTCTTTATAACAGAATGATTTATATTTCTTTGGCTATATACCCAGTAATGGGATTGCTGGGTCAAATCACAGTTCTATTTTAAGTTCTTTGAGGAATCACCACACTGATTTCTGCAATGTCTGAACTAATTTATATTCCCACCAGCAGCGTATAAGCATTCCCTTTTCCCTGCAACCTCACCAGAATCTGTTATTTTTTGACTTTCTAGTAATAGCCATTTTGACTGGTGTGAGATGCTATCTCATTGTGGTTTTGATTTGTATTTCTCTAATGATTAGTGATGTTGAACATTTTCTTATATGTTTTTTGACCACATGTCTTCTTTTGAAAAGTGTCTGTTTATGTCCTTTGCCCACTTGTTAATGTGGTTGTTGTTGTTACAAAAAAAAACTGCTTGTACATTTGTTTAAATTCCTTATAGATTCTGGATCAATAAGGATGTATAGGTTACATATACTTTCTCCTATTCTGTAGGTTATCTGTTTACGCTGTTGATAGTTTTTTTTACTGTGCAGAAGCTCTTTAGTTTAATAAGATCCTATTTGTCAATTTTTTTTTTTTTTTGCAATTGCTTTTGGTGTCTGTCATGAAATCTTTTCCAAGTCCTGTGTCCAGAAAGGTATTTCCTGAATTATCTTCTAGGGTTTTTATAGTTTTAGGCTTTACGTTTAAGTTTTTAATATATTTTGAGTTGATTTTTGTACACGGTGTTAGGTAGGGGTCCAGTTTCAATCTTCTGCACATGGCTAGCCAGTGATCTCAGCACCATTTATTGAATGGGGAGTCCTTTTCCCATTGCTTGTTACTGTCAACTTTGTCAAATATCAGATGGTTGTAGGTATGTGGCATTATTTCTGGGCTCTCTATTCTGTTCATTGATATATGCATCTGTTTTTGTACAAGTACCATGCTTGTTTTGGTTACTGTAACCCTTAGTTTGAAGTCAGGTAACATGATGCCTCCAGCTTTGTTATTTTTGCTTAGGATTGCTTTGGCCATTAGAGCTCTTTTGTGGTTCCATATGACAGTCTTTTCTAATTCTGTGAAGAATGTCATTGGTAGTTTGATAGGAATGGCACTGAATCTATAAATTGCTTTGGTCTGTATGGCCATTTTAACAATAATGATTCTTCCTATCCATGAACATGGAAAGTTTTTCCCTTTGTTTGTGTCATCTGTGATTTCTTTGAGCAGTGTTTTGTAATTCTCATAGAGATTTTTTGCCTTCCTGGTTAACTATATTCCTAGGTATTTTATTCTTTTTGCACTATTGTGAAATGGATTATGTTCTTAATTTGGCTCTCAGCTTGGATGCTGTTGTTATATAGGAATGCTACTGATTTTTGTATGTTGATTTTGTATCCTAAAACTGCTGAAGCTGTTTATCAGATCAAGAAACTTTTGGGCAAAGACTATGGGGTTTTCTAGGTACAGGATCATGACATCTGCAAATAGGAATTGTTTGACTTCCTGTCTTCCTATTTGAATGCTTTTATTTCTTTATCTTGCCTGTATATCTTTGATTTTTTTAATTAGAGTTTTTAGTTATCCTCTAGGAATCTTGTCAAAGTTTTGTTAGATGTATACTTAATAATTTCATTGTTCTGGTGCTAATATAAGTGTTGTTTTTTAATTTCAAAAACACAGAGGTATATAGGAAAGCAATAGACTTTTTTATATTAATCTTGTATTCTACATCTTTGCTATGATCACTTATTAGTTCTAGGTGTTTTATGTTAATTCATTAAAATTTTCTACATAGACAACTATGTCATCTGTGAACAAAGACAGTTATATATCTTCTTTCCAAATCTGTATACCTTTTATTTTCCTTTCTTATCTAATTGCACCAGCTACAACTCCTAGTATGTTGAATAGAAGTGGTGAGAGGGGACATCCTTGCCTTCTTCCTAATGTTAGTGGGAAAGCTCCAAGTTTGTCACCATCAACTGTGATATTAGCTGTATGTTTATTGTAGATTCTCTTTATTAAGTTGAGGAAATTCCCTCCTATTCCTAGTTTGCTGAGTCTGTATCATAAATGGATATTGGATTTTGTCAGGTGCTTTTTTTTACATCTATGCATATGATCACATGATTTTTTTTTCTTTAATCTGTTGATATGATAAATTACATTAATTGATTTTTTAATGTTAAACCAATATTGCATACCTGGGATAAATTCCACTTGGCGGTGGTGTATAGTTTTGTGCACTGTTGGATTTGATTTGCTAATATTTTGTTGAGGATCTTTACATCCATATTCATGAGAAATAGTGGTGTGTAGTTTTCTTTTCTTGTAAGGAAAGTCTTTGTCTGCATTTGGTATTAGGGATTAGTAATGGATTAGTAGTGATGGTGGGCTATCTTTTATTTCTGGTATTAGTGATTTGTGTCTTCTCTCCTTCTCTCTCTCTCAGTTAACCTGACTATCCAAGATCAATAAAATTGATCTTTTCAAGTACGTTTTTGGATTTCTTTTTTTGGTTTTTATTTATTTTACATTTCATTAATGTTTGCTCGATTTTTTTTGATTATTTATTTTCTTCTGCTTAGTTTGGATTTAATTTGTTCTTCTTTTTCTTTCCCAACATTAAAGCTTAGATGATTATTTTTGAGATCTTTCTAATTTTCTAATATTTGCAGTCAATGTTATAAACTAAATTTGTTCTTGGACCCCTCTAATAAATTTTTATTTCAGTTATTGGACTTTTCAACTTCAGTATTTCTATGATGTGTCTTTATGTGATTTCTATGTCTTTATTGATACTCTCTATGTGGTGAGACACTGTTTTCCTGGTTTCCTTTAGTTATTTGTATGTGGTTTCTTTTTGTTTTTTGAATATATTTTAAATAGTTGATGTACTGCCTTTGTCTAATAAGCCCAATATCCAGGTATCATCAGTGCAGATTTCTATTCATTTTTAAAATGTACATAGTCCATACTTTCTTGTTTGTTTGCATGCCTTGTAATATTTTGTTGAACATCAGACATTTTGAATATTATAATATGGAAGTTTTGGAACTCTGAGTTTCCCATATCTCCAGTGTTGCTGCTTGTTTTATTTGTTTTTTGCTTCTTTAGTAACTTTTCTGAACTGGTTTTATAAAGTATATATTCTTTGTCATGTATAGCCACTGATGTCTCAGTTCCATTAGTTTAATAGTCAGCTAGTAATTAAGCAGAGACTTCCTTAAACACCTGGGAGGAAAATCTCCCAGTCTAAAGATGTGCTCCGTTTGTGTTTCATGTTTGTGTCTCCACCAGGCAGTTTACAACTCTGCCTTAGCCTTCACATCCTGCTTACACAGAGTCAGAAAGTCAGCCAGAGGTTAAAACTTAGGGCCTTCTCAGGTCTCTTTTAGGCATGCAGCCAACCATCCTAGGAATGTGCATAGACTTCTCGACTCTCAGGAGCTTTTCAAAGACTTTATTCCCCCAAAGCATTTCATTCCTCAGCCTTTCCTCCCAAGCTTATTGATTCGTCTATTGTTTCCCCTAATTGTTATCCTTTGAGTGAGATGGAGTGATTTTAACATTTGCCTTTAAAAGTTTCTGATAGAATGTTGAAAGCCCTGGTATAGTTCTGAATTAGGGGAAATAAAGGCAAGCCCATTGATCCCTTCCTTTTGGGAGCCAACATACAGGTAAAAAAAAAAATGCAATTCTTTAAAGATAAGGTCTACTGTGCTTCCTCCAGTACTAGGTACCTGTACTATGAATGCCAGCTGTTGTCTCAAGGTCACCACGAAGCCAGGAATGGAAACAGGGTAAGTTAAAATGCCACAAATTTATTTTACTGAGATTCAGCTGGTTTTTCTTAATCAAAGATTAAGCTTTGGATTAGTTTCTAGCATTCCTAAAAAGTTGATTTGGGCAGTTTTTGCAGTTAGTTTATTGCTTTTGTGGAGGGACAAATTTTGATGTTCCCTACTGTGCCACTTTTGCTTCTCTACCCTTTCACTTTTAACCTGCTTATGTCTTTATATTTAAGTGGATTTCTTGCAGTCAATATATAGTTTGGTCTCATTTTTAATCCAATATGACAATCTCTGTCCTTTAATTTGTATATCTGGACCATTTAGATTTAAAGTTATTATTGATATAGTTGAATAATGCTACCATGTTTGCAGCTTTTTTCTATTCATTTCACTTGCTCTTTGTTTCTTTTTTTCACATGTTCTTTTATTGCTTTCTGTGGTTTTAACTTAGCATATTATAATATTTCATTTTCTCTCCTCTCAGCATATCAATGTGGGGAAAATTGATATTGAGTTCTCAAATAATAGTAGGAATAAAAGAATAATGTAATGTTAAATAAACATGGGAAAATTAAAATAAAGAATATGTTTAAAAAGTATCATGTAAAATAAATAAAACCAAGTCAAGATGGAAAGAATACAATCAAGAATATCAGTCACCATACCAAAAAAAAAAAAAAAACCAAAAACCCAAAATGGACTACATTCCTGCGCCATAAGTACATAAAATTTTTATTTAAAAAAAAGTTTTTTTAAGAGACAATTTAAAAAATAAATGCTTACCCAAACCTTGCGCATCTCCTGTCAAAGAAGACTGCAACACTGTGGTGCTTCACGTTCAGAAGGGGCACACTGGTATGTTGAAATGAAATGAAGTATTCCACATGTTTAACATCCCTAAAAAATACAGAGCCTGCTATATTGAGTTAAAAAATAAAGCATAATTTGTTTTTGGAAGAGTGTAAACACTCATCGAAGTGGTAAGAAAACATTACAAATAAAGAGGCAGATAGATAATAAACAAATAAAAGCAAAAAGGAAACAATGTCAGTAGGAACACCAAACCATTGATTAAAAGCACTAAAACAGATAAATATAAATACATTTTCCCTAACTCCCCAACTTGTTAAAAATGTATATTTTGTACATATGCAAAGTATAACTCGTAAAGAAGATACAACAGTAGTTAACCTATATGCACCAAATATAGCTGTTTAGTACATAAAAATAATTTATTAGAAATGCCAGGAGGCTGTGTCCATTTTCTACCCAATAGCATTTTCCTTTCTTATTTATGAGAGGTGCCTGATTTTGCTGCAGGGTACAATGTGCCCAATTAACAGACCATATTTCTCAGGGTTTTTTGTTTTTTTTTTTTTTTAATCTGCCACAATGATCATGCAAGTAGGACCAGGCTAGTAAAATGTAAGCAGATGTGTTTTTTGGAACTTCTGAAAAGGTATCTTTAGGATCACTGACTATCCCAGAAATGTGCCTTTTGACTGCCTTCATTCTTCCTTCCTGAATAGGACACAATGGTTCCACCAGCCGTCTTGAGAAACGCAGATGAACCCATGCTAAGAATGGTGGTGCAAACAGATAGAAGAAGCCTGGTTCTCGTAACTTAGTGGTGCTACCACATCAGCCTGTGATGTTCCATCTCTAAGCATTTTTTAACATAAGGTACTAAACATTCTGTGTTTAAAATATTTTCAAGCCTTGGCAACATAGTGAGATCCAGTCTCTGCCAAAAAATTAAGAATTTGTGAAATTTAGCTGGGCATGGTAACCCATGCCTGTAGTCCCAACTACTCAGGAGGCTGAGGTGGGAGGAGTACTTGAGCCTGGGAGTTCAAGGCTGTAGTGAGCTGAGATCACACTACTGCACTCCAGCCTTGGCAAGAGAGAAATATCCTGTCTCCAGTATATATATGTGTGTGTGTGTGTATATATGTGTGTGTGTATATATATGTGTGTGTGTATATATATGTCTATATGTGTGTGTGTATATATATATCTCCAATCTAGTTTCTTTCTATTGTATGAGCCAAACTTAATCCTCACTAATACAAATTATTAAACATACAAGCAGAGTAAAACACTTCAATGTATTTCTCCAACAAGAGGACAGATGTTATAGTCAAAAAAGTAAGTGAGAATTTTGCGCATCAAGAAACATTATCAAGAAAGAAAAAAGGATGCCTACAAAATGGGAAAATATATTTGTAAATTATGTATCTAATAAGGGTCTAATATTAAGAATATATAAAGAACTCTTGTAAGTCAACAATGAACATGCAAACAACCAAATATTTTTAAAAATGGGCAAATGAGTTGAGTAGATATTTCCCAAAAGTAGACACACAAATGGCCAACAAGCACATGAAAATATGCTCTACATCATTAGTCATTAGTTGAAATGCCAGTCAAAACCACAGTGAAATACTACTTTATAAATAGTAGGATGGCTATTACCTTGAAAAAAAAAAGCACACACACAGAAAGTAACAAGTGTTAATGATGTGGAGAAATTGCAACCCTTATGCATTGCTGGCAGAAATATAAAATGGTTCAATCACCATGGAAACAGTTTGGTAGTTCTTCAAAAAGTTAAAATAAGAACTATCATATAACCCATCAAATCCACCCTTAGGTATATGCCCAAGACAATTGAAAACAGAAACTTGAACAAATACATATATACAAATGTTTGTAGCAGCACTATTCACAATAGCCAAAAGGTAGAAACAATCCAGAGTTCCCTCAGTAGATGAATGGACAAACAAGTTGTGGTATAGTCACACAATGGAATATTATTTGGCCTAAAAATGATTGAAATACTGGTACATGCTACAGGGTGGATAAGAAGCAAAAACATTATGCTAGGTGAAAAAACCCAGACACAAAATGTCACATGGTATGATTCCATTTATAGGTGGTATATTAGTCCATTCTCACACTGCTATAAGGACATATTCAGTACTGAGTAATTTATAAAGAAAAGAGGTTTGATCAACTCACAGTTCCACAGGGCTTGGAAAGCCTCAGGAAACTTATAATCATGGCAGACAGGGAAGCAAATATGTTCTTCACCAGGTGGCAGCAAACAGAAGTACAGAATGAAGAGGGTAGGAAAGTCTCTTTTAAAACCATCAGATCTCATGAGAGCTAACTCACTATCATGAGAATAGGATGAGGGAAACTGTCCAATGATTCAATTGTCTCCATTTGGCTCCTCCCATGACACATGGGGATTATGGGAACTACAATTCAAGATGAGATTTTGGTGGGAACACAGAGCCAAACCATATAATTCCACCCAGCTCCTCCCAAATCTCATATCCTCACAATTCAAAACAATCATGCCCTTCCAACAGTTCCCTAAAGTCTTAACTAATTCCAGCATTAACCCAAAAGTCCAAGTTCAAAGTCTCATCTGAGACATGGCAAGTCCCTTCCACCCATGAGCCTGCAGAATCAAAAGCAAGTTAGTTACTTCCTAGACACAATGTGGGTATGGGCATTGGGTAAACAAACCCATTCCAAATGGGAGGAATTGACCAAAACGAAGCAGATGCAGGCTCCATGCAAGTCCAAAATCCAGTAAGACAGTCATTGAACCTTAAAGTTTCAAAATGATCTTCTTTGACTCTATGTCTCACATCCAAGGTGTGCTGATGCAAGAGATGGGCTTCCATGGCTTTGAGCAGCTCTGCCCCTGTGTCTTTGTGGGGTACAGCTCCCCTCTTGGCTGCTTTCATGGGCTGGCATTGAGTGTCTGTGGCTTTTCCAGGTGCACAATGCAAACTGTCAGTGGATCTACCATTCTGGGGTCTGGACGATGGTGGCCCCATTCTCACAGCTCCACCAGGCAGTGCCCCAGTGGGGACTCTGTGTGGGGGCTCTGACCCCCCATTTTCCTTCCACACTCCCCTAGCAGAGGTTCTCCATGAGGCCTATACCCCTGCAGCAAACTTCTGCCTGGGCATCCAGGCATTTCTACACATCCTCTGAAATCTTCATAGAGGTTCTTAAACTTCAGTCTTTGACTTCTGTGCACCCAGAGATTCAATATCACATGTAAACTGCCAAGGCTTAATCTTGCACCCCCTGAAGCCACAGCCTGAGCTGTACGTTGGCCCCTTTTAGCCATGGCTAGAGCAACTGGGATGCAAGGCACCAACTGCCAAGGCTGCACACGGCAAGGGGCCTTGGACCTGGTCCAGGAAACCATTTTTCCCTCTTAGGCCTCCAGGCCTGTGATGGGAGGGGCTGCCATGATAGTCTCTGACATGCCCTGGAGATATTTTTCCCATTGTCTTGATGATTAGCATTTGACTTCTCATTATTCATGCAAATTTTTGCTACCAGATTGAATTTCTCCCCAGAAAATTGGTTTTTCTTTTCTGCTGCAACATCAGGCTGCTTCCTCTTGAACACTTCGACACTTAGAAAGTCCTTCTGTCAGATACCCTAAATTCTCTCTCTAAAGTTCAAAGTTCCACAGGTCTCTAGGTCAGAGGCAAAATGCCACCCATCTCTTTGCATATCAAGAGTGACTGGATTAGTCCATTTTCATACTGCTATGAAGAAATACCCAAGACTGGGTAATTTACAAAGAAAAGGGTTTAATTGACTCACAGTTCCACATGGCTAGGGAGGCCTCACAGTTATGGCAGAAGGCAAAGGAGGAGCAAAGTCACATCTTACATGCTGTTGGGCAAGAGAGCATGTGCAGGGGAACTGCCCTTTATAAAACCATCAGATCTTGTGAGACTTATTCACTACCATGAGAACAGCATGGGAAAATCCCACCCTCATGATTCAATTAGCTCCCACTGCGTCCCTTCTACAACACATGAGGATTATGGAAGTTAAAATTCAAAATGAGATTTGGGTGAGGACATAGCCAAACCATATCAGTGACCTTTACTCCAGTACCCAACAAGTTCCTCATCTCCATCTGAGACCACCTCAGCCTGGACTTTATTATCCATATCACTATCAACATTTTGGTTAAAACCATTCAACAAGTCTCTAGGAAGTTCCAAACTTTCCCACATGTTCCTGTCTTCTGAACCCTCCAAGTCTATAGGAAGTTCAAAACTTTCTCACATTTTTCTGGTCTTCTACTGAGTCCTCCAAACTGTTCCAACCTCTGCTTGTTACCCAGTTCCAAAATTGCTTCCATATGTTCAGATATCTTTACAGCAGTACCCCATTACCTGGTACCAATTTACTGTATTAGTCCGTTCTCATGCTGCTAGGACATATCCGAGACTAGGTAATTTATAAAGGAAAGAGATTTAAGTGACTCACAGTTCTACAGGGCTGAGAAGGCCTCAGGAAACTTACAATCATAGTGGAAGGGGAAGCAAACACGTCCTTCTTCACATGATGGCAGCAAGGAGAAATGTAGAGCAGAGATGGGGAAAATACCCTATATAAAACCATCAGCTCTCATGAGAACTAATTCACTATGATAAAGACAAGATGAGGGGAACCTCCCCCATGATTCAAGTATTTTCACCTGATCCCTCCCATGACATGTGGGGATTATGGGAACTACAATTCAAGATGAGATGTGAGTGGGGACATAGCCGAACCATATCAGGTGTAATATTCAAATCTATAGAGACAGAAAGCAAATGGGTTGTGGCCAGGTGCTGGGAGTGTGGGGCAGCCGAGGAGTGACTGCTCACAGGTACATGGTTTTATTAGGGATGATGAAAATGTTTTGAAACTTGTACTAAACATACTAAATGCCATTGAATTGTACATTTTATAAAGTGGTGAATTTTATGCTATATGAATTTCATCTCAATTTTTTAAATAAAAAATAGAGGAATCAAATGTGATTATACATACATATGTGTATGTTGCATCCCTGTGTGTCTATTTATATATATATAAATAATCTTACATCTCTAGAGTGGAGAATGTACTTTTTCTAAATCCCTTAAACATTTATAGAAATTTACCATGAAATCCTTGTGTCCAAAAATAAAAAAGAAATTATGTTGATCAGGACTCAATAATATTAGAAATAATTATGAAAAATAGGACCAAAAGTAATATATATTTAGAAATTAAAACATGCTCTCAGTTGACCTTGGATCATGGGGGTGATCAGAATAAAGACTGCAGACCAAAGCAAAGCAACCCAAAGGGGAGCACTTCATAACAACATCAGAAATGAAGGAAGTAAAGAAGGACTCAGCTGTAAACTCCAGAAAACAGAAGAAATAAGGAAGAGAGAACTGGTAAAAATAAAAGATGAGGCCAGGCATGGTGGCTCATGCCTGTGATCCTAGCACTTTTGGAGTCCAAGGTTCGAGGATCACTTGAGGCCAGGAATTTGAGAACAGCCTGGGCAATATCGTGAGAACTTATCGTTACAAAAAATTTTAATTTAAAGATAAAATTATTAAAACATAAAATGGAAATAAAAATAAGAGAAGACAGTCACAGGAGAGAGAAAAATGATTATAGATGAAAGCTAAATAAACACCCATGGCATAAATTTCAAAATCTAGATGAAATGAATGATTTCCTAGAAAAAAAATAAGTTATAAAACTTCATACAAATGAAGTGGACATGTTGAATAGAAAACTACCATAGGAGAGACCGAGAATGTGATAGGAAATCTCTCCTTGAATAAGGCACCAAAGCCAGGTAGGATTCATAAACAAATAATTCCAGTGCTATTTAAACTATGTCAACCTACATAAAAAGGGAAAATTTTCCTATTCATTATAACAAGTCAGC